TTTAAATGTTTTCATCTGAATTATCGATATCCCTAATTAATTTTTTGAGCAATGCTCCAACAAAATATCCTTTCAGGATTTACAATTGTACCTGATGCATACTAGCTGAACACGAACTTACACTCATTCCTATCCTGTCCCAATTATAAAATCCTTCATTCCTGTCTTCATCAGCCCCTTTCTATTTCCCAACTGTTCATTGCCTTTCAACTGAAATCGGTACAACTGAGATAACTGATAATATAACATTCGGAAACTAACTGACCAATGGAAGAATTCCTTATAGATCTACTTTTAATATCCAGGAAGGAAGTCAAAAATCGCTAATTTTAACGTACTCGAGATGAAACTAAACAATTGCAATAAAATGAGTGGGTTTAAATGTTTTCATCTGAATTATCGATATCCCTAATTAATTTTTTGAGCAATGCTCCAACAAAATATCCTTTCAGGATTTACAATTGTACCTGATGCATACTAGCTGAACACGAACTTACACTCATTCCTATCCTGTCCCAATTATAAAATCCTTCATTCCTGTCTTCATCAGCCCCTTTCTATTTCCCAACTGTTCATTGCCTTTCAACTGAAATCGGTACAACTGAGATAACTGATAATATAACATTCGGAAACTAACTGACCAATGGAAGAATTCCTTATAGATCTACTTTTAATATCCAGGAAGGAAGTCAAAAATCGCTAATTTTAACGTACTCGAGATGAAACTAAACAATTGCAATAAAATGAGTGGGTTTAAATGTTTTCATCTGAATTATCGATATCCCTAATTAATTTTTTGAGCAATGCTCCAACAAAATATCCTTTCAGGATTTACAATTGTACCTGATGCATACTAGCTGAACACGAACTTACACTCATTCCTATCCTGTCCCAATTATAAAATCCTTCATTCCTGTCTTCATCAGCCCCTTTCTATTTCCCAACTGTTCATTGCCTTTCAACTGAAATCGGTACAACTGAGATAACTGATAATATAACATTCGGAAACTAACTGACCAATGGAAGAATTCCTTATAGATCTACTTTTAATATCCAGGAAGGAAGTCAAAAATCGCTAATTTTAACGTACTCGAGATGAAACTAAACAATTGCAATAAAATGAGTGGGTTTAAATGTTTTCATCTGAATTATCGATATCCCTAATTAATTTTTTGAGCAATGCTCCAACAAAATATCCTTTCAGGATTTACAATTGTACCTGATGCATACTAGCTGAACACGAACTTACACTCATTCCTATCCTGTCCCAATTATAAAATCCTTCATTCCTGTCTTCATCAGCCCCTTTCTATTTCCCAACTGTTCATTGCCTTTCAACTGAAATCGGTACAACTGAGATAACTGATAATATAACATTCGGAAACTAACTGACCAATGGAAGAATTCCTTATAGATCTACTTTTAATATCCAGGAAGGAAGTCAAAAATCGCTAATTTTAACGTACTCGAGATGAAACTAAACAATTGCAATAAAATGAGTGGGTTTAAATGTTTTCATCTGAATTATCGATATCCCTAATTAATTTTTTGAGCAATGCTCCAACAAAATATCCTTTCAGGATTTACAATTGTACCTGATGCATACTAGCTGAACACGAACTTACACTCATTCCTATCCTGTCCCAATTATAAAATCCTTCATTCCTGTCTTCATCAGCCCCTTTCTATTTCCCAACTGTTCATTGCCTTTCAACTGAAATCGGTACAACTGAGATAACTGATAATATAACATTCGGAAACTAACTGACCAATGGAAGAATTCCTTATAGATCTACTTTTAATATCCAGGAAGGAAGTCAAAAATCGCTAATTTTAACGTACTCGAGATGAAACTAAACAATTGCAATAAAATGAGTGGGTTTAAATGTTTTCATCTGAATTATCGATATCCCTAATTAATTTTTTGAGCAATGCTCCAACAAAATATCCTTTCAGGATTTACAATTGTACCTGATGCATACTAGCTGAACACGAACTTACACTCATTCCTATCCTGTCCCAATTATAAAATCCTTCATTCCTGTCTTCATCAGCCCCTTTCTATTTCCCAACTGTTCATTGCCTTTCAACTGAAATCGGTACAACTGAGATAACTGATAATATAACATTCGGAAACTAACTGACCAATGGAAGAATTCCTTATAGATCTACTTTTAATATCCAGGAAGGAAGTCAAAAATCGCTAATTTTAACGTACTCGAGATGAAACTAAACAATTGCAATAAAATGAGTGGGTTTAAATGTTTTCATCTGAATTATCGATATCCCTAATTAATTTTTTGAGCAATGCTCCAACAAAATATCCTTTCAGGATTTACAATTGTACCTGATGCATACTAGCTGAACACGAACTTACACTCATTCCTATCCTGTCCCAATTATAAAATCCTTCATTCCTGTCTTCATCAGCCCCTTTCTATTTCCCAACTGTTCATTGCCTTTCAACTGAAATCGGTACAACTGAGATAACTGATAATATAACATTCGGAAACTAACTGACCAATGGAAGAATTCCTTATAGATCTACTTTTAATATCCAGGAAGGAAGTCAAAAATCGCTAATTTTAACGTACTCGAGATGAAACTAAACAATTGCAATAAAATGAGTGGGTTTAAATGTTTTCATCTGAATTATCGATATCCCTAATTAATTTTTTGAGCAATGCTCCAACAAAATATCCTTNCATCATCATCATAAGGTCATCAGTCCTAAGACTGGTTGGACACGCACCTCCACTCTTTCCTATCCTGAGCTAAACTTCGCATTTCCCTAAAACTACAACAATCCACATCCTTGACTATTTGCGAACAGTAATCTAATCTAAGTCTACCTCTACCCCTCCTAACTCCTGTTTCTGCCTCTAATATGTCTCTGACTATACCTTCATGCCTGAGAAGGTGTCGTACCAACCTATCTCGCCTATTCCTTATTGACTTCCATAGAGTCCTCTGTTCTTCCTTTTCTTTCTAATACCTCTTCATTTCTAACCTTTTCTACCCACGATATCCTCATCATCCGCCTATAATACTACATTTCGAACGCTTCTAACCTTTTCTTTTCCGCCGTGCCCACTGTCTATGTTTCGCACCTGTACAACGCCGTGCTCCAAACATACACCTTTAACAAACTTTTTCGAATTTCTAAATTAATCGTTCGCGAGCATAGAAGTGACTTCTTTTTATTAAAGGCGACACGTCCCTGCGCTATCCTCTGCTTTATATCCCTACTACTCCTTCCATCCTGACTTATCTGACTTCCTAGATACCTAAAATCAGCCACTTCTTTTAATTTTTCGTCTCCAATCTTTATATTCGCTCTTTCCCTACTTTTTCTTCCCTTGCATATCAGTATTTTAGTTTTACTTTTATTTATTTTCATACAGTACTGATAATTCGCCTATAACACCACATTTCGAAGGCTTCTAACCTTTTCTTCCTGTTCACCTGTCCATCAATACCAATTTCAAATGCATCATAACTATTAAATTTAGTTTACAAAAAATGTTCTTACTCTTTTTGTAGTAACTGGCCAATTCCACAAGCAGGCATTTCGAACAAATAGTTTTAAATACACCACGTACAAAATAATAAATTCCACTTTAATAAACCGAACGTAAAGTACATCGCGGACTTTATTATTTTTAACTTCTGCGCAAACAACATGCGTATATCTGCTAGTAACACGGAACATTCCAGATCCCTTTCTCTTTCACACAGTGATAACAAAATACCTATTGTGAGTCATCTTCATCACGCCGAGTGCTATAATATTTCAATTAATCAAACATCTTTATCTTTATCTCATCTTTAATACGTTTTGAATTATTTAATTTATTATTAATTGGTTTCGCGCATGGTCTAAATTTCACTAATTTGCAACTAATTTGCTTCCAAATCAAATAATATACATTATCGATTTACACCACTTTCGACACTTTAAATAAAACAGTGACAAACATATTACAATTACAATCGGAACAATTCGACGCATTCGTATATGTTCGGTTCGGTGTTTATATGATTTATATATTATTGGGAAATCTGTAAGTGTGAACCTACTGAAAAAGAAAAGAACTCCGAGAACTTTACGAAAGCTTGACTGTAATTTTGCCTCAAGAATTATTAATTACTGTTGTTTTTTAAAATAAAATTTAACTAGTAAATTATGTTTCAACAAAATTTATGTAAGACAGCAGTATATTATGTGTAAGAATTTAAAGGAAAGGCAAGAAAGAAATATGATGTGCGATTTTTATTAGGTACCGATTTTTTTGAAAAATCTTTCCAATTTTCTGCTAGGTATCTAAGGTAGGTAGAAACGAATGGGATGCAATTTAACAGTATCAAAAGTCCAGAACCGTACTTGGACATTTATTTCCAATAATTGCGAGTGACAGTTAATAATTCTCGCGCTAGATAAGGTGACTTCCAATTTTCGAAAAGCCCGTTGTCGCCTCTATCCAAATTGTCAAAGTTCAAGTATAACAAATTTTTGTTATAATACATATACGTATACGTGTGCGCACCTATATTTCCTCTTGTAGCGACTTCAAGCAGGATAATACTTTGTCAACTTCTTGCCGACACAAATCCTTATTTATATTCGAGTCTACCCTCCATAAATCCTTAAGCAGCTTTAGGGGTTTTATATTCAATTTTTAAGCTTGTTAGGAAAGATTTTGAGCTTGTTCGCACTCGCCAGCGCGGCACGAAAAATTAAAAACGTCTCCTCTGTTTCTCGTTTTTTTTTTTTAATTATCTTTCGTGTAAACAGTTGACAAGGGAACAAATTATAACCCAAATCTATCAAATAACGCAAAATTTATTTGTCTTTAAGGCATTAAATACATAAATTATAAAATCCATAATCCGAACCTACAATTCGCACATAATATGAATAAACATGACAATAATAATACTGTAATAGTTTTCCTTCAATTCCACAATGATGACAGTATACATCAATAACATTTGCTTGATAAAACATAAAATTTATTTTAAACAACCCAACAGTAAAACTGCATTTCAAATAAATTTGCAGTAAGTCATATTGATAGTTGACAATGTCCATGGAACGATTAAATCAAAGGGGAGCACAAGAACCCCTAAACTCCTGTTGTACAACTAAAACAAAGAAACAGCAAATTATTATTATAATAACTAAATAGATTGATTTATAGGACTAAATAACGCAATACACAGAACAAAAAATCATTATGAACATTAGCAAAGTCATATGTGCTTTCTCATGTATTATTAAAGGATTATTTAAATTATTTACGTCTTTATCGATTATAAAATCCGTTCCTGTACAGCAAAAGTTTACTTCAATTATTCGTATTCGTAGAAATTGCTTTTAAATCAGATTCAAAATCAAAGCAATTAGTGAATAACTAATTTAAAACGTCTGCTTATAGTAAACAATATTTTATACATACGGTATGCGAAAGAGTGGACCTTACTAGGCAGAATGTGTATTCGTACGCTTGTGTGTATGTTAGACATCACTTTAAAGAAATGGTTTTTTAATTCCCAGTACCACCCGACAGGGCTCCCCTCATCCCCAATTAACAGTCGCACGTCGTCCTCGCAGACAATATTAATGAGAGCGTCATATTATGACTTACCAAGATACGCACTTTCGCATGCGGTATACTGTTTTGTGTACTGAGTCGATTTTTACGATAATTTACCAAAGAGCATAAGGATTAAAAACATTTTATTATAATCTTAATTTTTGTTTAGTGTTAGCACTTACTTTTTCCGCATTTTCTTGCACAGGCCAGTCTTTCGGGGTTGCTATACGTCTCCCGGTCTGATCCACAAACTGGATCGTACTGAGACGTGGTTTGACAATTTCGTGTACAATCGGCAAATGCACTGGATTGTTGTTGTTGTTGTTGTTGTTCTTGTCCGAAATTGGTAGCTGATGGTACTGCAGGTCTTGCGGCGGAAGGTTCAAAATCGTCCGTACCCCAAATAAAATTCCCTTGTCTCCGAAATCGTCCTCCATATCCCACATTAAAAAGCACTGCATTAAAAGGATTTATTGGTTACTTCATTGCACAAAACTCAAAACAAAAAAACTTTTCTTACCAGAAAATAAAACCAACAATGGTACCGTTACTCTGAACAACATGGTCGGATTGCAAAGAAAGCACAATAATAAAACAGTTGCTCGATTATTATTTTTTTCTCTCAAACTAGGTGCCCTTATATGAGATCCGCTGCAACAAGCTGACTGAAACTGATCGGGTCAAGTGGCCTTTCGCGATAACCCGTTTTTACAGTCATCAACCAACCGTTTTATATGCACATAATATACATATATTTAATCGCCATGTTGTACTTCCCGGTTGCTTAAGTTGAAGAAATCTAAATTGAAATTCCCAATCATTAAATGTGCACGTCATTAAAAAGAAACCTTGCTTATTACAACCGATTGACTACAAAATATAAATAAATTACATCATTTTCCAGTTGAAAATATGTAAATATCAATTTTATCTGAAAAATAATCCTATCAACGTGACCTGCCTTAGTACCTACAGACTCCTCGGAATGCCAAAGTCACAGAGCTAGAAGAAAACCGTTTAATCAATAACTGTAAATTAAAAAGTAAACGGATTGTTGATATTATTTCAAGTAAGACAATAACAGGATCATAGTGAAATGTTGTTATCGTCCCTCGGAGAAGTAATAATTGTAAAAAAATAATATAATAAAATAATAAAGCGACAATAAGAACAAGATAATATAACAGTAATAATAACAAAGACAACAAAATANAAATATCCTTTCAGGATTTACAATTGTACCTGATGCATACTAGCTGAACACGAACTTACACTCATTCCTATCCTGTCCCAATTATAAAATCCTTCATTCCTGTCTTCATCAGCCCCTTTCTATTTCCCAACTGTTCATTGCCTTTCAACTGAAATCGGTACAACTGAGAAAGCTGATAATACAACATTCGGGAACTAACTGACGGATGGAAGAATTCCTTATAAACCTACTTTTAATATCCAGGAAAGAAGTTAAAAATGGCTAATTTTAACGTACTCGAGATGAAACTAAACAATTGCAATAAAATGAGTGGGTTCAAATGTTTCAATTTAAATATTTTCATCTGAATTATCGATATCGTTAATTAATTCTTTGAGAAATGCCCCAAAAAAATATCCTTTCAGGATTTACAATACAGATGTTTGTAATTGCAACTTTCATCTACAATTCGAAAATAATTCCGGGTAAAGTAAATATTTCGTTTGTTAAATTCCTCCGCACAGCATCCGCAGTTTTCACTTACGTCGGAGTATCGTATTCCGTCTGCCGCCAAAACGAATTCTTTCCATTCTATTTTATAATAAGACGAGCCCTGAGGAGCAGAGAAGGTTCGTCTAATACGACAGGGAGTAACCGTAAGTATGTGCACAACATGAAGCTGAATCAGCAGGAATAGCAGGATGGCAGGCAGCACTAGGTACATATGTATCTATACACCGGCAACTCCCGGCTCCCTCTCTTGCTCTGGATAAAAAGAAGCTTCATCTGAACAAGACTCATTTCGGCTTGCATATTTAACAGTCCATATTTCATAAGCCTGACAAACGGCGGAAGGTAATTTTCGTTTAATGAATCCAAACTTGGAAAATGTACGTTCCTGTATAGATAAAAGGATGCAGATGCATATAAAGACGTACAATCGATGATACCGAAAATGAAACAATACACCCTTCAATAACAGCCGTACAGATGATATCTGATAATTAAATTTCTGTCACTACTATCAAACGTTCTAGGAAAACTTTTTCACAACAGGAATTGAAAGGATCGTCAGGATCGTCGCACTAACATAGAATAAAACACACGATATTCCCATGTAGGAAATCACAACAGCTTCATCCAAGCTTGGCCCAAAACTGTTCAATTCTGCTCCAAGATTCGCAACCAATATTGGACCAAGCATGGTAAATACCCGACAGCCAATACTGGACCAAGAATTGAAGAACAATATTAACTCAAAATTGGACAGGTAATATTATGGCAAATGTAATCCAAGATAGTGCAACTGTGTCGCTTCCATTTTGACCATACTTCATTACCCAATATTGGATATAGCGAAACGTTTATGTACCTGGCCTTGACCTAACTTTGATCCAATATTGACAAACCCGTACTTGACTGCCCAGTATTGGACCAAACTTGACGAAACGTTAATATGCCTACCCTTGGCATTTGAAGATTGCCAGAACTACGATCCAGTATTGGTAAACCCATGCGTGACTATCCAGCGTATGACCAAACTTAGTAAACCATGAACGTATATGGTATTAAAGGAAAAGTAAAACACCAAAATGATTTATAAAGTACTGTAAGTTTGTCTACAACTTTGTTGACTGTAATTCCTGGAGCATCCTCTCTATTTGGATATTACGCAAACTTCAACTGTCATATCGTCTAATCTTCATCCAAATATGAGACAAGATGCAATTATATTGCGATGGGTATATTTAACCCCTACTAGCCTCAACCGGTTTAAATGAAATAAGTTACAGATACAACAAAAATCGTTTGCCAAGACTCCGTTTATATCAACAGTCCGTTTATAACAACGAAGCTTTATACGTATCAGTTCAACTTTTTCTATTCATTCGACAGTGGTTAAATAAGTCTCGGCACATATCCGTTCAAATGTATCACACACGTTTCCTATCCACAAAAGTGTACTATACCGTTTCTAGCGCAAATTAAAATGCAAAGCACTCTCTAGATGTTTGCGCCTCCATTTGCAATTTAATGATATACTCATTTGTCCGAGTCTACCGCCACTGACGGCACCGACGGTGTATATTTCATCACCTGAACTGTTATTGTTTGTTTAATTAGTTTATTTCGCGGACTTTAATTGGTATACCTAACCGGGGGAAAGGATTTTGATGATAGCTAAAATGGAATTTAGTCGCTCACTCGCTGCATGCACCAAAACAAAATTTCGACTTTGTGAAATCGGTTTTTCAAAGACAATTAATTATGTTCTAAATACGACGTAAACCAGCAATAACAACTATTTTAGAACCACGGCTTATAACTTATATCGTAAATTAGACATTTAATATTGTACTTTCGAATACTCTCCCTGAAAGGTCATCAACTTGACCTATGTATTCGTTTATAGGTAGGCATAACAGTCCCTTTGCACATTGGCAGATGACACTTTAAGTTTGTAATGATGAGGGTCAATCCAGCGTATAATAGTTTAATGCTCAACTAATACAGGTAGTAAAAACACTTTACAGCTGCCTTCAGGGATGCTTTTCGTAGTTAATAAATAAAAAAATTAGCTTAATAAACTTCAGTCCTACCTTATCGTTATTATCTGCCTGATACACGATCATCCTCTCCAGCTGTCATAACCACATTTTCATATTTTCTTTCCTTTTTCCTGATGTCCTGTAGGTTAACTGACGCTTTTCTGTAACGAAATATACATATGTCAAAATTTCAGAAAAAACATATAGAACGAGAAATATGGGCAATATTTTACATTAACACAATGTAACATAAAAATATGCCACAATACAAAACGTTTGTGGTAAATTTTGAATCGCTGGACTCCACTTATTAACTAGAATGTAAAGAAATGCAATGTAAAACTAGACCACAATGTAAAACACACGTATACATTTTAAATTACATAAACGCAAAACGCTTATGTGTAATAAATTTGGAATAATATTACCATAATATCACCTGTAATTTTCAAAAACGCAATGTAAAATGTACCACAATATAATACAAAATGGAAATTTGGAAAAATCTAACCGTAATATTTCCTGTAATTTTCAGAAACGCAATGTAAAATGTACTGCAATATAATATAAGGCGCTTATGGTAAATCTTAAATCACATGACGCCACCTACTTGCTGTAATGTAAAGAAACGCAATGTAAAAAAGGACCACAATGTAAAATTACGGGTAAATTTTAAAAAACCTGACCACAACACTAGCTTAATGGTAGAAATCAACCACAATGTAATACAAAACGTTTACTACATTCACATTATTTCTATTGACTAATTGACGATGTTCTCTAACAAGATGAATTTCAGAAAAGAAGTAAAGAAAAGTCTTCAATTCAAATAATTTGTAATCATGTTTTTATCCCGAATAATAAAGTAACTTTTCCCGTTAAAGTTTTCCACTTATCTTTGTTCGTTTTAATTTGTCCATGTAAACATTTTACTGGCACGTCCGTCGTTTGTTTTTTTCGGCTGAAGAAATAATGGCGCTTTTTATTTGGGTGTTTATGTCCGTTTCTTGGCGCGAGAAACTAATTGCAGCGAGACGAAAAATTAAAAATTTTATTTGCAACAACAACAGAAGAAGAGATGCAATATGCCGACATTTTCGACTTAATTCCCGTGGTGTGTTGCCCTTAAACTGGAGCGTGAATTTTCATAAAAAGGGATCCCGTTCGGCGCCTCGTATATAATTTTAGGGCTCGGGCATTTTACGGCGTCATTTATCACCTATTAAGTGAAACAATAATTACTAACGTTATTGCCACTTAGGCGGAAGAACGTATATAGATATCTCTCTCTCTCTCGCAAGAACGTTATGTTACAAAAGCTGCAGAAATATGGCAAGTCTAAACACCATTCCTGCAGTTAATAACACTTTTGCATCTCTCTCTGTTTAACTATTACGTACTTTCAGCAATTTCAAAGCATCTTTGTTAATCCGTCCACAGCGAAACGCAAAGGCAAAACCATCTAAATCCTGCGCTTCATTTTACTATACAATCTGCTTTTTATCCCTTGAAAATTAAACTCCTGCTATCCCTATTCCCACTCTATCGTCCCTGAAAATTCTACATTTTATTTTAAATCCCTAGTCCACTGTTTAAATATAATAGCTATCTCAGGTCAGAACTAATCATTTCAATAATTAACGCATTCTGTTTTGTTTCACTTCCGGAAAGAATTTAAAATTTGTTCATTGTTTTCATCAGCCTGTCATCAATTCATTCCCTACACGAACTTTTCTTTCCCTAAGAACGTAGACTAACGTTACCGGTCGATATCGGCGTAGATAAAGAGGAACCACATTCCCATTCCCGTAACACCGGACCCTCTTTGTGGCGTAGCGCATACCTCCAGGGAAATCCCGAACATCCATGTCTCTGGACTGTCCGTCGTAGTCATGCCTCCTGTTATTACAACGTTGAATCATCAACATGCAAGAATGCACATTAACTAACCCCTTAGGTAAAATGATGTACTTTTGAAGACATTTTGGCAAAGGAGAATATATTGAACAATCTGGACAAAATACTCTGATAAATTTGAATAACTTGACCACAATAATTT